CTGTGTGTGTACCAGGTTGAGTGACCGACTCGAAGCCAGTTTGTCGGCTGCGTAGATGGTATAGTTGTCTGTCTTTTATTTACCACCCCTTTTATGTGCTGGGAAGGACTCAGACTCCTGGGAATGTTTCCTCACAAACACCTTTCCTGGGCCTACATTTGTGAATCCTTCATCCCTAAATACGTCTCTTCTTGATTCACTCCATAAATGTAGGCATATAATTCATGTACACAGGGCTGTGGTGTAGTTTTGATATAGAGATTTAGAGCCAGAAAGGACCTCAGACACCATGAAAGGCAAAGTCACATTCTACAGAAGAGGAAAACAAAAACGCAGTAAGCAGAACCAATAAAAAGGTTAATTTAAGTGCATACCCTTTAGATTCAGAATCCCAGGGTTCACATCCAAGTTCATCTCCTACTGCTGACATGACCTTGGGCAAATTACTAGGTACCGCTCTGCAGCTTAGCTTCCTCCTCTATGAAAAGAGGGGGTCATTGATTTAATTCAAATCAACAAATATTCATTAAACACAGCGCTGGCGTAGGATGCACACTGAAGAATAAGCAAGTGAGCTCCTGTGTGTGGAGCTTCACAGAGCTTACAATCTAATGGATAGAGTAGTACTAATTCCCACGGTTGCAGTGAAAATTAAATGAGAAATATTATTATTAATAGAGTGCATTCAGCAGTGTGTGGCATGTAATGATAATAATATAATGATTATAATCGTACAATTGTTATAATAATAACAATAAAAAGTTATAATAATCATCGTTGTTGTTGTTATGGTTATTATTTAGTAATAATAATATACATAACCACATCGTGGGGTTAGGATGAAGATAAAATGAATAATTTATGTAAAATACTTAGTACAAACATCTAGAAATCTTCAATACATTTTATCTACTTATTGCTAGGTTAAGTGGTTTTGCCAAAGGCACAGAGTGACACTGGCAGAGCTGAACCGAGAATTTCTACCACACGCCTGTGCCATTTTGCATACCTGCCAGGCTGTACTCTGATTATGTGATTTGTTTCCCCTGTTCAGCCTTGAACCATACCATACATTCTTTCTGGTTCAGACTCATCGTGCCAGGCGCCTTGTGGCATCTGCACTCACCAGGGCCTCAGCACCAAAAGCAACTAAGAACAGTAACAGCATCAGTGAAAACAACACGATAATTTCATATGCCTTCTGGTACCTTTTGGGACCTTACATCATCATTCACTTATTCAACATTCATTTAAATAAATATTTGTTGAGACGTAATAGACACAATCCCCTCCCAGCGAAAGGGAACCCCCAAAGACAATTTTTCCCTCCTCCACTTGTTTTTCTTATAACACTGACTACGACTTGAAATTATATTGTAAAGTTGGTCTGTTTATGTGTTTTTTGTCTGTCTCCCCAACAGGAATATATGACTCACAGAGGGATGGGTATTGCTTATTCATAGACATGTGCTCAGCATGGTGCACATTGCACATGTGTTACACTATAAATATCCATGAACTGGACGAATACGCCAGGTCCCCGCCCTCAGGGAGGTTAGATTCTAGTGACACATGCCACCACTTGGAAGCACCTCAGAAGCAGGACCAAGTGAAGCGAGCCAGGCACAAACCACCACCTATCGTCTGAGTCCATCTGTGTGAAATGCTCAGAATAGGTAATCCAGAGGCACAGAAAGCAGACTAGTGGTTCCCTGGGGTTGGGGGTGGGAGTGGGGTTGGACTGCAAATGGCACAGGGATCTTTTAGGGGAAAAGGAAATGTTCTAAAAATGGATCATGGCAATGGTTGCACAACTCTATAAATTTACTGAAATGGATGAGTTTATAATATATAAATTATATCTCAATAAATCAAAGTATTCTAGTGGAGGAACAGACCTTAAACAGCTAATTACTCAATTACTTATTTAAGTCCAGCTGTGCTAAGTTCTATGAGGGAAAGTCCAGTGTCCTGATTACCTGCTGCATCCTGCAATCTGGGGAGAGACGGGCAGAAAAAGCATCTCTGAGAAAGGACTGTTCAAACTGACTTCAGATGTGGCGGGGGCAGGCAGATCATTAAAGGCAGAAGACACAGCATGTGAGGGGCTCCAGAATGCGAATGAGCACAGCAGTGTGGGGTTTGAGGAAATGAGAGAGCAAGGGAGACGTCTGTACGGCTGGAACACAGGCTTCACAGAGGAGAGATGCTCAAAGTGAGACGGAAGGTGACAACCCCAAAGGGCCTTCTAAGAACTCAGTCATTTAAGCCTGTTAGGAACACCACCAATGGCTGCATTGTGGAGAATGGGATTGGAGCCCATAGCTGGGCAAGAGTCACCATAAGAGTAATGAGGAAGCTGTCCTCAAAGCCAGCTTTTGGATTGATCTGGTTTTCTCCCTTAGTTAGCCAAAGGGATGGGTTTTTGCATAACAGCCCTACAGAGACTTTGTTCAACCAATGTCCTGTACATGCTGATTCAAATCACGTTAGGAAGAAATTCTAAAGGTGTCCTGTTATGCAAATCTGATTTATAAAACATTTGAATCCAGGTGAACTTGATTGGAGAACCGTTCGGTTTGTCCCCTAATTGAAAGATTTCAAAGAAAGGCTCCTAAAATTTCCCCCACATCTATAAAAATACTTTTAGAAGAGCCCAATATCACCAGTAAGTTATAGTCAACTTTCAGTAGATGGTCCACTAAGAGGGTAATGATGGGAGAGCATTAGGTCTGCAGCCAAGGCTCAGAACTTCTGGCCAAAGATACCCAGCAGATCCTTGATTTGGACAAATATGCTCCACAGACTCTTATTCAGAGACAAAATCAGATTTCTTTAGTTGTGGGAGAACCTGAAAATATGTTTTAAATAAGAGTTATTTTTGAATAAAGCTCCATTTTAAAAACATCACACATACTCACACATTCTGTCTGAAACATCCTGCGGTCTCATCGTGAATCTCGTCTTTTATTCTCCTGCATTCTTCTGAAAATACACACAGTACTTCCTTAACACCAGAAGGCTTTCTCCTGAGTCATTTTACATTTATGGGGAAATAAGCATTCTGTGTCAGGATGGACACCAGCGTTTCCCAGTGCATCCTTACAGAGCCATACAGTTATCAAGGACATCTTCTAATTCCTTTTCCCTTGCTCACATTTCATGTTCCTCCTCCAACCTTGCCCCACCATCTCAAACATCTCCACTTCTAGCTACCATTTCGGAAAGGGAGGGTGTGGGTCACCACTGTCTGCTAAGATGCCCCCAGGGGGCATATGGAGCGTGTCAGAACCCCAAAGTGGCTTCTGGGCTCTATTTCCTCCTCCACAATGAGTTTCCTACTTTCAGAGGTAAAGGAATTGAGGAACAGCGGCCTGTATGCTGCGGAGATTTAGTGGAAAAGGGGTTTACAGACATAGACTCCAATTATTTTCAAACTATATGCATAATGTACATACATAACTTTATGTATGTATATGCGTGTATATAGACATACATATATTACATGCAACTTTACACACATGCACAAACCATATTCCCCTTTAGGAAGATGAGGAAAATGAGCCTTTTAACGTGTTGAAGTCATATTAGATAACACCTCTGCTCAAAACCCTCCAGAAACCTCACTCAGAATGAAATTTGAAAGCCAGGGTCTACAAAGCCCTATATAATCTTCACGATCCCCACCCCTACCTCACCAACCTCTTTTCCTACCGCTTTCTCCTTGCTCACTTCATTAGGGCCACACTGGATTCCTTGCTGTTCCTCCAACACATTCCTCCCACTCCTACCTCAGGGCCTTTGCACATGCTGTTCCCTCTGCCTGGAATGTTCTTTGCCCAGAGAACTGCTTGGCTCATTCCCTCAGCTCCCTGCCATATATCACTTCTATCACACAGGTTTCCCTGACCACCCCTTCTCACTCCCTTAATTTTCCATCCCAGCCTTATTGCCACCAGACACATTATTTATGTATCATTTATTGCCTTATCTACCCCATTCTAATGACTTCTCCTTGACAGCAGGAACTTTGTCTTACTCATCGTAGAGCTCTTGCACCCAGAACAGTGTGGGGGGGCTCTCAAATATTTGTTGAATGAATGAGGCTGGTCTGATCCCATTGGACTAGACTGCTGCCAATCACAAAGCTTAGAGCTGGGAGGGAGGAAAATGGCAACTCATTCATCCCTCCTGCCAGGAGGGCAAGACCATGCCCAACACACTACATGTGGGTGAACCCGTGCCCTGAGATCAAAGTCGTGAGGAACATGGCAGTCCAGAACGGGCAGCTCAGAGAGCCAGACCCTGGCAGAGGGCCCTTCCAGCACAGCCTGTGGGGGAGGGTCCAGATGCCAGATCCTTACCAAGCAGGTGAGTGAGGTTCTCAGAGCAGCAGCTGAGGCTGCAGAGCCAGTGAGCAGAAGCAAGCAGGGCTAGGTGGCTGCGTGCTCCTTTGTGATGGGGACTTTATCCCTGGTTTTCAGGCTTGGCGTCTCTCTGGGCAGGTGGGCTGAAACCTCCAGAAGCTAGACCCACTAATAAAAAGTCTCAGGGCCTAGAAATCAGCTTCAACCAGCTACCTGCAGGCCAGATGGAGTCTTACAAAGTCCCTTGCGAAGTGGAACAGTCCAGTGGCCACAGCTGAAGTTCACAGGGCAGAATGTGGCCAAGAGGAGGATGTCTCAGGTCACCTGGACCCTAACCGTGACAGCCCAGCAGGACCTCTTGGGAAGGCAGGCCACACGTTCTGCTTCTGTTGGGCCCAATGCTAAAAGCAGGCTTCTCAGTCTCTGTCTCTTGTTTTCTCCTCCCATTTTCCTACCCTACCCTAACCCAGCCAGGGGCCAGCCCACCTCAAAGAGATGTTCTTTTGTACAGAAAAGGAAGAGGCTTTACCCCATTTTCCATAGTGGGAGATCCAGCAGATTCACAGGCAACAAATGCACAGCATCACCCTTCCATAAACTGGAGGATGAGAGATGGAGGGACGGCAGCCAGACAGCCAGGGGCCAACAGGAAAGGAAGGAAATGCACCAAGAAAGAGGAAGGGAGTGTTTATTCCTGTTAGAGGAAGAGAGGCAGATTCTGAATGTACAAGTGCGAGAAACAGCATTGGACGAAGGGGAGGAAGAAAGAACCAGCATTGAGGGAGGGGGAGGATGTCAGTCACCCTAGTACCTGGGACAGAAGAGGAACAAAGTGAGTCTGAGGAGAATAAATAGATGAAATCGTATTAGCTCGCCTCCCTGACCTCAAAGGAGAAATTGCTAACACTGTGTGTGCCAGCCTCAGACGGGCACTTCCCGGGCACGTCCTCCTTCACCGGCTCGTGAACCGGCTCCTCTCATCCTCCTCACCATGGGGACCGTGGTGACTGTTTCTTGCAGAGAGCTGACAATGAACTCATCCCGATGAACTGTCCTGATTCAACACTGTCATCTGGGGGCTGAGGAAATCCACACGGGGGCACCATCTCTGGGGTCAGAGAAATAAATGAAAATTTTCAACCCTGCCAGTTGGTTGCCCCCTCACTCACCTCCCGCCTTCCCGCACCCTGCAGGCTCTGGTATTTGCCCCTTGCTGACTGTCGTTCAGAAGCGGCCATCCCCCCTGGTTGGATGCTGCTGCACTGAGCTTATATAGATAGACAGGTGAAAAAAGATCTCTTAAAAACAGCTCCGTATTCTATGTCCTAACACAGGTCTTAGGGCAGCAGATCTTCTGTCTCAATCCACGTGTCTTGGGAAGCTGAAATGGAAGGCACAGCTTATTTTTTCTCCCCTCACCCTCGAGACAGTTCTCCAACCACCTATTCACATGCACATCTGTTCTGCTGTTTCTCTGCTGCGCTCTGCTTCTGGAGAGGATGCCTAGAATAATACAGATGTTCCCCTTGTATACAGTTTGCATAGCAATTGCCGCAGAAATAAATATTGCAGGCTTGGCGTGGCAGGATCTATGGAAAGTGCCATAAGATAAATAAAAAAGGAAAAGTGCGTAAGCTGTTTTTGCTTTATTAGCTCTAAACCCAGGCTTAAGCAGGGATCAGAGGACCCAGCAGACATCGTTCAACAAAAAAGTTGCTCATTCCTTCGCTCTTTTCCTTTCTCCCAAATGAGAACATCGCCACCTGGTGGGAGATTTCTGAATCGCCACCAGCAAGTTCGGAAACAACCTGGAGACGGAATTGAAACCCAAACCTGACCGCGGGGGTCAGCGGCTGGCAGAAAGGAGGAACTGTCGGTAATAGGAGGAGCACAGATTTCAAACTGCTTGCTGACCTTCTGGAGTCCCTTGTACACGACTTGCTCCCAGGAGACCAGATCTCTTCTGAATCCTTCTTTGCTCTTCTACATTTGTCTTCCCTGATTATGGTTTTCCAGGTCTTGCTGTTCTCCTTGCTGCGACTTACTCAGATTTTGTCCATCATTCAATGCCTAGCTCGCTACCCACTCCATAGAGTGCATAGAGACCACTCCGATCACCTTGGATTCCTCCCTCCGCTGGCCTCCCAATGCAGCTTCTGTGCACGAGACACACAACTTGATAAAATAATCTGCTCATTGTTCCTGGGCTGTTGGAACTTTCTTCTCAACTAAGGTCTGAGTCCCTGAATCTCTTCAGCGTCTATGCCAAGGTCTCCAACTGGAGGCCACAGAGGCGGTCCAGCCTGGAGATAGGTTGGGTTTTGGGACGCACATTGTGAAAACAAAACAAAAGCCATTATTTTAACATTGGGAGATTTCACATAAAAATTTGGATTTCTAGAATTTCTAAAACTATCTTACTATCTGCCAGAGCTGGGTCCGCATGGAACAGGCACATTCCTGTTTTTCCACAGTCCCCACCATACCCTATTGTACCATTAATGCCAGGTCTGAATTTCAGTTGTCATTTATCATTATGCTTGCTCTGAGTTTTTTCTTATATTTGAGAAATATATTTTATATCCATGTCTCTATTAAAAGGGAGGAAATAATAGCCCAAGCAGAGCATATGTCCAAAAAACAAATGGCAGAAAGGATATTTTTGGAAGATCTTAACCACATAAATAAATAAACATACAATCCACTTCATTTACTTCTGTTATTTGTCTGGCTTTTGTGAGACTTGAGTTTGCAATCCCTGGTTTGCTGTAAGAAGCTCTAGACCTTCCACCAGGTTGTTTTGTTTTTGCTTTCGTTTTTGTTTTGGTGAGGAAGAGTGGCCCTGAGCTAACATCTGTGCCAATCTTCCTTTATTGTATGTGGGATGCTGCAGCAGTGTGGCTTGATGAGTGATGCAGATCCACGCCCGGGATCCAAACCTGTGAAACTGGGCTGCCAAAGCAGAGTCCACCGGACTTAACCACTACGCCACCAGGCTAGCCCTAGCACCAGGTTTTTGCTCAATTTAAAATGTCTCCCTGCCTAGCTCCGCCTATGCCCACCTCTCCCTTTGCCTGTAGAATAGAGGCTGGGAAATCTTTTTCTTTAAAGGGATAGATGTGAAATATTTTTGATCTTGTGGACCATACGGTCTCTGTTACAACCACTCAACTCTGCCATTGTAGCACAAAAGCAGCCATAAATGATATGGAACCAAATGGGCATGGCTTTGCACCAATAAAACTTTATTTACATAAACAGACAACAGGTGCTACTCCCTGCAGGAGGATGTCTGTCCATCATTCCATCCTCCTTTTGACATCACTTCCTCCAGCCTCATCGGGCCTCCCCTGTGGTACGTCCTCAGTTAAATAACTCTTCAATCTTTTCCTCCCTCCTGGGCGGACAGCACCAGATTCCGAGGGCAGATACTCCTGTATCTCCAGTGTGGTCAGCAGAGTCCCACGATACACGTAGGGGGAGCTGAGGACCGACCACAAAGAACAGCAGGTGGGCGCGGTGACAGAGCCCACAAGAGCGCTGGCTGCCATGAGATGGAGATGAGCTGCCTCTCCCGCCGTATCCATCTGAGCAGAAGCCCTTCACGGCTGATGTGGGAGTCCCACTGCCTCAGCGACCCAGGCTCCTTCTAACTTGTCGTTCCGTCATCCTAAGAAACAACTTCCAGCCCAGGGTTCCCAGGGGTGCCAGCTCCCACCACTGTGGTTTCATGACAGACCCTACATTCTAGAGCCTGTTTCTCAAAACATAGGCGGATGTCAGCGGAACTATCCGCAAGAGATCGCATCATGAGACTCTGCGGCAACCACTATATTTATTTATTTATTTATTTATTTATTTATTTATTTATTTATTTATTTATTTATTTATTTATTTATTTATTTGCTGAGGAAGACTGGCCCTGGGCTAACATCCGTGCCCATCCTCCTCCACTTTATATGGGACGCCACCTCAGTGTGGCCTGACAAGCGGTGCGCAGGTCCGCACCCAGGATCCGAACCTGTGAACCCCGGGCCGACGAAGTGGAGCTCACGAACTTAACCACTGCACCACCGGGCCAGACCTGCAACCATTTTTATTTTATTTACTCATTCATGTATTCAATAAATTAATTCTCAATGAGGATGAGTTACTGTGACAATTCCGAGCATGCCACTACTACAGACTTCTGCGTTGTTGCTGCCTGGAACGTTCTTCAGGATTTCATACGACTCCCGTCCTCCCAACACACAAGCAAAGCCCCCCTTCTCCATTCTCTATCAATTTACTGTGATTTTTTTCATAGAACCTGTTTCTATCTGATATTTGTATTTGTTTATTTGTTTATCACCTGTCTCACTACATGGAGTGAAAGCTCCTTGAGGACAGGACAGGCCTGCCACTTAGTCGGCCTCTAATAAATGCTGGTCAATACATGAAGCAGCTTTGTCATTATTGCACAATGAGGAAGGTCTTCCGGTGAGAGGAGGAGAGGCAGATTCTGAATGTACAAGTATGAGAAACAGAACTGGACGAAGAGGTGGAAGAAAGAACCAGATGTGAGGGAGGGGAAGATCTCAGTCGCCCTGGTGCCGTGCTGTCTCATTTCCGTATAATTCACACAGAGAACTGAGTAACCGAAGCCCAAGGGCAACCCTGACAGGCCTGTTGCTCTGTTTCCAGCAATAAAAGAAATACCCTTGCTCAAATCACAGTCACTGCCCACACGTTGTTGCCCGTTGATCCCACGTTAGATTTCTGCCTCTCATGATGCCTTCTTTACGAAGGCGTGTGCAGCTGGAGTAGGGAGCAATGTCTTTTTTTTTTTTTTTTTAATAATTTTATTTATTTATTTTCCCCCCAAAGCCCTAGTAGATAGTTGTATGTCATAGTTACACATCCTTCTAGTTGCTGTATGTGGGACGCGGCCTCAGCATGGCCGGAGAAGCGGTGCCTCGGTTCACACCAGGGATCCGAACCCTGGCCGCCAGCATCGGAGTGCGTGCACTTAACCACTAAGCCACGGGGCCGGCCTGGGAGCAATGTCTTAATCATCACACGATGCACAAGAGAACCATGTTCATTAAACCCTGTTTAATGATGACAAATGTATGTACTTATTTATATGCTGTCTTTCCAAAAAGGATATTAGTAGAATCTTGACTGAATAAAAGTGAACAAAATTCCACAGTTAGAGATTAATTCATTTGACTTAAACTACATCCCCTTTCTAATGGGTGCCACCTACATATCATCCGTCTCAAATAGGAACTTCTAGCCAAAATTTTCTACTCCCCAAATGTAGCGAAGAATCAGTAGAACTGCTGGCCCTCAGAGGACAAGGAGAAGCGAAGCAGAGGGTAGCTCAGAGATAACCAGCAGCTTCTTTCTACTGCTCCAGCAAAAGACCCCAGGACCTTTGTACAACCCAGGTGAGGCAGGAGCCCTGAGAGTGGCTGAGACAGATATGCACCCAGCTGGATGGGGGCTCAGAGAAGAATTTAATTAATTGGTAGGAAATTTAGAAATGTAATATCTGGCCTTCTTGAGTTTACGGACTGAGATTCATGCCGACTAGAAAATCTGGCAGGGGAAGGAGGTGCCTGGAAATCTCCTGCACCCTAGCACCAGCTTCGTGCCTCCG